CACTACTGGGCCACGCCGCACATCAAATAATTGTTCTCGCAACCGGTATAATAGATTTTACCAAAACCCATAATCATGGGTAGAGTGGACCGCTGTCAGTGTCTCTCTTTCCCAAACAAAAGGAAATGATATTACTTTGAATGACCGTTATCAAATGCAAAATGATACCGAGAATGAAATCGGTCGCTCGCTTTTCCCATTCATTCACGGCTTACGAATTGTAATAAGTTTCGATTGATTACATCAATCAGATGCTGTAAAAATCTCTTTGGGTTGCGTTCGGGTCGATACCTAGTATTTCGGGGTAAGGGTGGTAGTTATTAGTATTACTTATTGAATTAGCTGAAGTTTATTGAATCTTCATTGCCGAGTACAGCTGCCTTTGGGTAGTTCTTCTTAATCTATTACAATTGTAAATGAATGGGAAAAGCGAGCGACCGATTTCATTCTCGGTATCATTTTGCATTTGAGAACGGTCAATCAAAGTAATATCATTTCCTTTTGTTTGGGAAAGAGAGACACTGACAGCGGTCCACTCTACCCATGATTATGGGTTTTGGTAAAATATCATCTCTTTTTGATTATAATGTCAGGGTACTTTATAAAGTCGAAATATAAACTGATATCTTCATTAATAAGGAGGAAGTTTCAACGATTTCGAAATCTATCCTTTAAAAACATTTCCTTGTGTTTAGGGAAGCATATCGGTCGATCACAGACTGAATATGCCACTTAATACTCATTCAAGTTGGCATTAAATTCATATATAATGACATTAAACTGTCGTGGCAAAGCAGAATTTGTTGGAAATCACGAATGAGCAAAATTCTCACCTTTCGCACGTGCAAACTTTGAGCAGACGTTGCGTGCGCATCCAATATTGAATAGCCGTAAATTTTTGCATGTAATTGTTTTATATATAGCTTGATAAGCATGCAAAGTTTCAAAGTATTTTAAGAAGAACTGTAATCACAACGGCACTCTAAAGTTGACAGAAAATGACGAAAACAGCAATTTTCAGTGATTTTAGCGATTTTCTATCAATTTGGGCGTGTCCCAACGTGTGCAACTTTTCGATTTTCAACTTTAAAACTAGCCTATGACACAATTTATACCTATAGGAAGCAGAACTGAGCTCCACAACCCAAGGCATGGCCCAACACCAGAGAATACTAAATCGCAAAATTGACGTTTTTATAAAATAATTCTTCAAAAAAGCACAAACTTCAATGACGAATATTTTTATGAAGGAGCAAGCTAGAAAAACTTTCTGGTAGATTTTCAGAATGCTTGAACAATTATCTAAGATGAAAATTTCCTCAGATTTTGAATAAAATTACTCCTTAATGGTTTAAAATTAATTTTAAAAGTTATTACTTTGTCAAAAATCAAATTTTAAAAACGGTTAACTTGATGACGTCATCAAGGGGTGTTTATGACGTCATATAATTTTTTTATACAATGTAAACTAAAGTATAAACAATTATTTGCAAGACCTGTGGTCGGAAATGGCTGTATCTTTTACACTTTTGAATCTATGGACAATTAAATACAGGCTACAATTGACTGGCAAAGCGTCTATCCCTGAATATATATATATATGTATATATGTATCACGACAATCTATCGTAAAACAGGGGTTCTAGAAAACCCACTTCCCGATGCTCCTGAAACCTGAAACTTTTTTTGCAGTCGATTTGGTCAACGTCTAGACGCCCTGAAAAATTTCAGAGCTTTAACTCAATTTTAACATGGTTTTTAAGGCACCTGAATATGGCGATTTTGGGTTTTTTACCGAATTTCGTATAACACCCTCGACCCTGTTATGGGCTCCAAGTTCAAATCTAAACTGTATATATTGACAGAGTTCTTACTTCTTACTCGCCCCTCTGTCTCCCTCTTTCTTACTGACATAACTGGCTGGGTAAATATTAAAAAATACGTGGTAGAGAAACAAAAAAAAACCAATTTTTTTATTAATCATTCTGTAATCAAAAATTAATATTGTAAACAATAATAATGTAAGACAGAAAGATTTTAAAAAGATTATATATTTAAAAAAGATCCTGTCCTCATTTGAAGGTTCGATGGTTGTAGCGCAATGCACTACTGGGCCACGCCGCACATCAAATAATTGTTCTCGCAACCGGTATAATAGATCGGCGAAATGCACATCGGGGAATTGGGCCTCGCCTTGTATCACGTCGTGACCCACATTGTCGTTTTACTAATACAGGGGAGCCGCGCACGAGGGTCATACAATGTGTGACAAATTTCGACAAGAAAGTGGCGCACTACTTTGAAAAAATTTAAACGAGTATCACCCGTCTTTACATACAACATAGCCATGTGTTTACGCGTACTGCGTGACGTTGCTCTAACCATGAACCAGAGCCTCTCGCTTCATGTGAAACAAGCGCGTCACGCAGTACGCGTAGACACATGACTATGTGAATGCGTGACGCACTTGTTTCACAAGTAGAATATCTTTGCCGCCTTCGGCGGTCGCGCGCTACTGCAGGCGAGAGGGATCTGGTTACAGCAATCACCCGTCAAAATTAATGATATGGCACAATATTTACAGTTTCAAAGGTTTTTTGTAGTTTACTATATTCTACTTGCTAGTCCATCTATATTATAATTTAAAGTATTATGTTTGTTTGCACTTGCCATAATATTTCGAGAAGAAATCGGTGCGCGCTTCTTCGAAGAAATTTAGACGAGTAATATCTTGGAGGTCTTCGCCGCTTCGATGCGCCGCGCAAGCTAGCATTCTTGCTTCGCGTCGCAGAGCTACGATCTGGAAGGGTTGACATCGTCAATCAATGATCAAGTAACATCTGTCAATAACGAGGGTTATTTTACACACATGCACGTGCAATCATTGTTGGAACGACGCGACATTTTCAACATAAGGAAGCAGCTTCGTTTTGAAATCCTAATAAGAACAACAGTGATTTCTTTACGGGGAGACATAGGTGCGATAAAAAACTTTATAACAAGTTCGGCCTAAAATTTGACCATTGTTAATGATCTGGCCCGGCGCGCGCTACTTCGTAGCACGTGCCATCGTTTCGAGAAGAAATTACTTTGAAGAAATTTAGACGAGTAACGTCCGTCAATCTAAAATATGTAAATATTTTAGGTTTGATACCGTTAGTAATGTCAACTGTCATACGAATCACAAAATGGAATAAGGTTCAAGGGGATTAGCTCAACATAAGCTTCCGTAACAGTGTTTCCCAACCCATCCTAACAGCTATATAAAATTGGTTATACATTTGAGAAAGCAACACAATATTAAATAATACTGCATATGTTGCTCTAACCAGAGCCCTCTCGCTTGCAGTAGCGCGCGACCGCCGAAGGCATTACGCGTATACACATGGCTATGTGAACTGAATATGCATTGTCAAAAATATAAAATTAAAGGGGTGGTGGGGTGATCACAAAATGTGATGGTCCTGTAACCTGTTAAAGCTTAACGAATCTCAACATAAGTTGTAAGTGACATAGGAAGGTGACAAAGGGGTGTTAATGACATGAAGGGCATTTAAAGTTACACCAGGTGAAATGATGGCTCAAAATAAGGTAGGACTTAAATTGGTGGGACGGAGCACTGGAATGAAAACCTTGATCCTCAGAATTGAAGAGTCCCCTTTCGCCTAGGGGACAACCTTTAATGTGAACCTAGCTTATCTAGGGATGCATGGTTATTTACTGGGCGATTTAAAAGTTCGAGGTCACCATTCACTTTTCGAATCATTCCAAAACTGTTACAAATGTTTCTGTAAAAAGTTTCTTAGAAGTTTCTTAAAGTGCAAGTATCAATGATGGATTCCTAGTTTTGGAGGCGAAGGGTGCCATGATCACCATTACATAGCACCCACAGCATAGTACCCACAGCTGCTCCCCTAGCATCTGTATTTTCTTCAGAGGAATAGAGCAATTTTAATTTCCACATTTTCAGAATTAAATTAGAATCGTGTTTTGCACTCATTGCATATGGTTGACTGGTTTTTTAGATTAGCTTCTGTCGAGGTGCTTCATAAACGATTCCCTGTTCAATTTCGGACTATACACATCAACTTAGTGCAGAACTAAGCAAGTTATAGAACTATTTCATACGTATCAAATTGGATGTGCTTTCGGTGGAGATATAGCATGCACCTTTTTAATTTATAATATTTGTGACGTTTTTTAATTACCTTACTCGGGAATATTATGACTGGGATAAAGTGGTGGGTTTTGGAAAATTCCGCCATATTTTTCCGGGTCATTAATTTTTCCAGTCATAAATTAACCCGCTATAATGTTCCCTAGTAAGGTAAACTAATAGTAATACATTTTGATGCTTGGTGGGTTTTGGAACATTCCGCCATATTTTTCCCGGTCATTAATTTCCCCAGTCATAAATTAACCCGCTATAATATTCCCGAGTAAGGTAGTTGCCGAACCTCTGCATCAGTGGCGTAACGAAAGGCCCTGCTGACCCCGCTGTGCAGGGGGGCGCCGTCTTAGGGGGGCGCCAAATCGTCGTTTGAATGTGGGACAATTTCGAAAACTTAACTAAAGTACTAGCAAAACTGCGCGTTTTGCTCTAGATACACACTTTTTTAGAGATTTTACCGGCGTATTCTTTAAAATCACCTAATTTGTTCAATTTTAGGGAGGGGCACCAAAAGGGGAGGGGGCGCCAACAGGGGGGCGCTTTTTTCGGCAGGGGGGCGCCAACAGGCAACGTTACGCCACTGCTCTGCATCACCCTGTATGCTCTTGCTTACAATATTTGAGTAAGAATAAAACACAGGATGGGCTGTTGCCAGAATATCAACCATGTTATGACTTGACATTTAAAGTATGTAGCAGCTGCAACCCTGTTAAGTTTAATCTGAATTTTACTGATCTTTGTTTTACTTAACAATATCAATTAATAGTGTATCAAATTCTTAATTAATTACTTCTATTTACTGTTAACATATTATCATTTTAACAGAAATATGACTTTCTCATAATGTCGATAAAAAACCCTTTATTGGAGGGATACTCCTCACAAAAGAATGTTAAACTGCTGTCATCTTCCTCTTTAAAGAGTAGTGTCTTGAAGAGATCAAGTGACTTAACTGATGATCCCTTGCTTAAATCGTCAAAGTTACTTCGATCAAGTGTCCTTTCCTCACCATCACCATTGCTTCAATCTAGGCCTCTGACATCTGTTGGCTCGTCATACTTGTCAACATGTACAACCACAAGCCAAAATCTTACCAGCTCTCTTATCACTACATCTGTATCCCTCTCTAACCCTTTGAGTGACTTGGGATCACAAAATGTGGCTGACAAGAATACCTCATTGAAGCCAAAACAAATGTTACAAGAAGAGGTAACAGACAGCAAAAGTGGAGAAAGAACTGACTTCTCTGAAATCTCCCCATTTCTAGAGGGGGAAGATATCATACCTATACCAGTGACTGAAAAAAGTAACGTTATCAACAATTACTTCAATACTATTTCCAAAGCTACTATCAAACTCACTGAAGAAGAAGTGCTCAAACAGGACTTTATCAATCTTGCTGCATGCTCTTTAATCAAAGCTCCTAAACTTGACAACAAAGATGACAATGTTAGGACCGGACTGATAAGTCTTGGAGAGAAGATCATTCTCATAGACCCTGAATTCATTTTAAAGATGGCACTCTTTACAAGAAAAGTTTTGAATATTCGGGTCACTGCCAATTTTCTAGTTGCTTTTGCTGCATTCAAGAAGGAATGTCGAAAATACATCAAGAAGTATTACCAAGAGACCGTTGTTCTACCCTCTGATTGGATTGATGTTGCTGAACTGTATACATCTCTTGGAGACAAGAACATTGGATTCTCTGCTTTACCTGTCTGTTTGAGGAAAGCTATGACCAAAAAGTTTCCAAAGTTTGACACTTACCAGATAGGGAAGTACAACAAAAAGCCAAAGAAGAAAGCAGGTAAAAGCAATCCTGAAGAATCAGAGAATGAAGATGATGAAACAAAGCTTTATGAAAGGCAACATTTTACATTGAAACAGCTGATTAGAAAGATACATATAAGTGATCCACCTGACATAGTCATGCCTGTTCTGGGAAAGAAATATCCTGAAACCCAGGAGCAGTTCTACCGCAGTAGGTTGTCGGGTTTGTGGGATGAAAGTCAGGCCGGCAAGAGAATGAAAGTACCCACACCGTACACATGGGAAACTCAACTAGCTGCAAAAGGGAACAATAGCGATACTTGGAAAGAGTTGATTCTTTCAAGAAAACTACCTTACATGGCAATGCTGAGGAACTTGAGGAACATTATTCAATCAGGAGTGAGAGATAACATCCATAAGATTGTCCAAAAGAAGTTGAGTTCCCCTGAAGATGTCAAGAGGAGTAAACAATTCCCATTTAGGTTTTTGAGTGCCTATGCTGTTCTAGATTCTTTAGAAAGTCAGCCTGGAAAGAGCATTTCTTGGTCGACCACTCCTGATTTTGAACAAGAAAAAATTCTTGACAGTTATAAGGCTTGCTTAGATAGAGCAGTTCAGCTTGCTGCCATCAATAATGTCAAACCTATCAAAGGCTCTTTGTTACTTATGTTTGATTGCAGTATCAAGATGGATGAGCAGTGCTCTGCCAAAGGATTGGGCCTTTCCCGGACGATAAGAGAAGTGGCTGGTTTGATGACCTTGATGTGTATGTTTTCTAGTGAGCACTGTGATGTTGTATACTACAATACCAATGGTACCACAAGAGGAGAAAAGATTGAAACTGGGGGAGAAATACTTAAGTTCCTATCTACCTTTGTTAAATTTTCAGAGGCAGCAAATGAAAGACTTAATACTGGTACTCACATGTCCATCAGTGATTGTTGGGCTGAAATAACCAGTAAAGAAAGACACTACGATACAGTTATTCAAATCGCACCTAACTGTGATGATTTCGATTCATACACAAATCTGTATCGAGAAAAGGTAAACAGTGAAGTCCTTTATGTCAAAATGAACCTTAAATCAAAAACTACTGAGTTAAATGACATGATTTATATGGCTCATAGGAATGATGTAAGTCTTTCTGGTTTCAGTGATCAAATGTTACAATACATCTCCGAAAGAGGCTCTGGAGAGTTATTGTCAAATGTTGAGTCCATCGATAAGAAGTTCAATCTTTTACCCCTACCAAGACTAATGGCCCAGAGCTATGTATCACCTCTGGCAACACAAGTAAAATCAAGAGTTGTTCGGATATTTGTGTCTTCAACTTTTCTGGACCTTGAACATGACAGAAGGGAACTGATGAATGTCATCATGCCTCAAATTAAAAAATTGGCAATGGAAAAGAACTTCACTATCCAAGAGGTTGATTTAAGGTGGGGTGTTACAAAAGAAGAAGCATCTTCAAACAAAGTGATTCTTAGATGCCTTGAAGAAGTGTCTCGTTGTCATTATTTCTTGTGTATCCTTGGTGATCGATATGGAACCACATTTGATAGCTACCCATTGTCTCCGAATGCAGAATTCTCGTGGCTACAGAATGAACAACCTGGTTTGAGCATGACTGAAATTGAAGTAACACATGCCTTGTTCTATTCTGACTCGACCAAGCTTCCTAAAAAGAACCAAATATTCTTAATCAGAGAAAATGGCAGTAACCGCGAAAGAAAAGTTGATCGACTAATTGACACAATAGAAAACTACTCCTTAGAAAGTGAGGAGCTATACATCAGAAGATATCCAGCAGCTGACATCAGAGATATCGCACTTCAGGCTCTAAAGGAAGTTGTAGTGAAAGATATCTTAAATGACGACAGCAAAGATCTCTCCGACGAGGAGATGCACAATTCATATGTAGAACAACAGGCTCTTCTGTTTGTTGGAAGAGAGAAGCTGGCAAGTAGTTTGGTTAGTGCTATACAAAGAGGGCAGATTGTGATGGTTACTGGTCCAGTGGGCACAGGAAAATCTGCATTGACAGCAAAAGCCTTAACTATGTTCCCTGAGGAAAGTAGAAGGAACGATTTTCATCATGTTGTAAAACTCAATGCCAGCTCCAAAGACCTCAATATTCTGCTGAACAGATTATGCTTCCATTTATCCAAAATCCTGAACGAAGAACTGGAAGATCATTTCGAGCCCACCAGTACGCTGTGGGGTCAAATAGCTAAGTGTGAAACATCCTTCAAGATACTTATTGATGGCTGTGATGAGCTGCTCCAATCACATGACTTGTTTTCATGGCTGCCAGACAAGATTCCTAATAATATTACTCTGATTTTTACTGCAAGTTCCTCGGGGCAGTGGAGCACATACTTGAACAAGAAGTACTCATCCCTCAATACATTCAGTGTGTCGAAACTTTCTGCCAATGAAAAGGTTCAGGTTACTAAAGAAATGCTAGCTGCTTACGGTAAGAAGCTTGAGGAGAAGGGGTTCAACAGTCAACTGAGTCTACTTTTATCCAAAAGAGAAGCCAACAATCCTCTGTACATTGATCTTTGCATCAACCAACTTCGGCTTAATGCAATATTCGAGAATCTGACACAGTGTATCCAAGAGCTTCCCCAAACTACAGAGGAGCTGTATGTAAAAATACTTAAGTTCACTGTGCAAGAAGTCTATGTTGTTGGTGACAAGCTCCTTGCTTATCTCTACTGCAGTAAGAATGGTATATCTGAGTCTGATATGCTTCATTTCCTTCAACTGAAGCCTCTAGCACTGGCCAGCCTACTGTATCATCTGAAGCTTTTTATCCACATCGACCAGAGCACCGGGATAATGTCCCTTGCCAATCAGTTTGCTAGGAAGGTAGTTCAAAGGAATTGTCTCAATGACGAGAAGCTTGTTGATGTTCACAAGGAGTTAGCAGTGGAGTACTCCGTTTTGCTCGGAGGTTGTCACTACACATCTATCAGAAAGGACGCTTATCGGAGCATGCTGTTCCACTACACAGAGGCTGGAGAGTGGAGCACTGTTAGTGGATACCTCTCTGATATGAACTTTGTTCGTCAGATGATTTACTTAGGTTTACTTCCAGACCTCGTTTCCTTCTTTAATATTGATGTCGCTAAACTAAAAGGAGTTGCCAAGGCGTCATATAAGAATGCTATGAACAAAGATGGTATGAAGCGATTGCAACAATTTCTCATTAACAACAAAACGATTCTTAGCAAAGAGCCATTTTTACTCCAGCAACGCTTGCTCCTTTGCGACGATTACTCTGAGGACAAGATAGAAAACGATGATGACTTGATGTTCAACAGTTATGTTGGCTCCTTTAAGTCTCTCCAAGAAACCAAGCAAACGTACAAGTGCAACATGAATGAACACTTCAACAGTGTTGTTACTTGCTTGGCTGCTTCCGATGTCACTGAGATAGTATTGGTAGGCTTCCACGACAGTAAATTCCAAGCAATCAATTCGGCTGATTCCACCATATCACAAACATATCGAGGGCACACCGGACCTATTACCTGCTGTGGTTTCCTAACTTCTTCCAGGTTCATATCTGCTGGCTCTGATGGTTCTCTGAGACTTTGGAGCTTGTTAGACTCAGTGTGTCTTGCCAAGATAGTGCCACATATCTACCAGATCCAGGATATCCACGTTAACGAGGTCAGCAAGTGCGTGGTATCCGCTGGTATCGACAGGAGAGTAACTGTGTGGCATAATGATGTCATATTCGATACAATAGAGTTTGAAAATCCCATGAACTGTATTAGATTTATTGAGAATGGAAAGAAGTTTGTGGCTGGCTCGTGGACGGGTGAAGTCTATGCTTATGATTTGGTCCAGAAAGTAAAGATCACAGTGAAAAAAAGCGGAAAGGTTCATAAAAACTCCATCCGGGCACTGTCTACTGGAAGGAAACATTTTGCTTCTCTCGATATCACTGGAGTTATATCCGTGTGGGATCAGATGACACTGGATGTTCTGCAATCAGTTCGCCTAAACAATGTCACTACTATATCGTATGACTTTAACGACCATCTCATGTACGGGCTGAGCAATGGTATCATAAATGTCACATCAGGTTTTGGTGATATGAGCACAGTTGGCATCCCTTCCTCTGAGCAGTTACCTCTCTGTACTGCTCTTCAGATTCAGGACTCTATATCGGATACTACTCAGGAAAGGTTCTAAAGATACAGTCCGATAATGAAATCGACACATTGACCCCCCACAAAGGGAAGGTAAATCAGATCACTTCCTTTGAGATAGCAGGGACTGGGAAGTGGAGCGAAACAACTGAATTTGTTGCATCTTGCTCAGACGATGGAACAGTTCATGTAAGTTCTAGAAATTAAATTCTTTGTTCGATGTCTGTAATATTTTTGATTAATAGAGAACGATGTCGTGTTCAATACCAACGTCTGAATTGCGCATAATCTTAAAATTTATAATCATGATTTCTTTTATAGTTATTATAATCTGATTTTTATTTATTTATTGATTTTAGGTTCATTCCATACACGGTGACAACGCACTAGAAAATGAACTGACCCCACATATTGGGAAGATTCTAGCACTCTGCCCCGGAGCTACTGGAGTTATGTTCTCTGGAGGTTACGACTGTGCTATAACCGCCATGAAGTTTGAGAAGGACAATCAGTCCAAATACCTCACAGTACAGGAGGTCAAGTTACACGGACATACAGCTCCTGTTTCCACGCTTCTCACGGTATGAGCTGATTGTTAGTTTCGGCGTGTTACCTTTAAATACTATTGACATCACCGTGAACATAATTTTACAAATACATAAAATCCAATCTGCCTCATATCGAGCTATGTACACTGTACAAGCTGTATAAGCTGTCCGTCTGCTATTATCATCAATCCAAATCTGAATGAGTTTAACATTTCACTCCCCCTTAGTTGAAAGAGGGTGACAGACTGATCTCAGGTTCTCATGATGGCAGTGTGAAGTTGTGGAACAAAGCAGGAACATGTGTGTTCACTGCCAGTAACGCTCACAGAGACTGGGTCACGTGCTCAGCAGCAGCTGGTGGTAGCGCTCAGGTCTTCGTTACTGGTTCTAATGATAACCTGGTCATTCTGTGGAAACTGGAGAATTCTAGAATTTACCATACTCGTGAGTGTTCATTACTTTGCACATAATATCTAACCGTAGGATGGCTATTGGTTGATGCACTGTTATTTCATGTGGTTAGATTGTGCGTTGGCCGTTGCTTGAACCATAAATATCTAATAAATCTGTGAAATGATACTAACATCTATTCATGGTAATATATTTTATCTAATTACAACACTACAAATCTATTACATTTATTGAGTATAATGTAACAGGATGGAAGTGTTTTTACCAGGTTCGCACTCCATAGTATGTAGAATTTGGTTCAATTCTAGATGAAAAGCTCTAATATTCATTATTCATGAATCATGAAATTCCCAACATGGTTATCTTATTTCAGACAAGTTCCTTGGGCACACTTCTCCTGTAACCTGTGTCAGTGTACTTGGTAACGAGACGACTCCTATCCAAATGATCATTGGTGGAGCTCAGGTAAGATCATATTTGGATGATTCTAGTCACGTACAAGATTTGCGTATTTGTAATATTATGTTTAATGCATCAAATTGATAATACAACCATTACGTATTTGATGATCGATCATAAAAACAGAAATAAGTCTCTGAATATATTTTTGTCTCCTCTTTTTGCGTCAGTTAAATTGTAGTATTGTCCATCTGGCATCATGAGCTTTAGCAGGCGATCACAGACGAGTACTCAGCACACCACATTCAAAACGTTATAGAATAAGCGACGCTACAAACTCCACTCAACATATCAGTGCGAATGCCTGACGCCTGACAAGTCTAGAAGTTTTGCTATGTACAAGTCTAGAAGTACAAGTCTAGAAGTTTTGCTAACGGTAGTCATATCCTCAGGACGGAACGCTTGTACTCTGGAACAAAGATGGCAAGTTCGTGTCCTCTACAAAACCTGCTGAACGTGGAGTTAACGCCTGTACATTCTTACCTGGGTCCTTCAGCAGCCCTACTGTGAGTTAACTAATAACTTTCTTATCTACTTACTCAAATGATAATGATCCTTTATTAATAAAAGAACAATTTACTGTACTGAATTGTATTTTCTGATCTATTTTAATGCGAAAAACCCGATCCCTGTAATTTCACTATTATAGAGAAATTAAATGAACTTAAAAAGAGTTATTATGTGAATCAGACATAAAACTCTTTGTTATAATCTCACAACTTTGAAATCTTACCCGATAACATGAACATGTTTTCTTATCAAATTATGCGTTCGATAATGCGGGACCTAATATTAAATGTTTAAAGCTTTGCAGACCAGGTACTCGATAATGCGACCTAATATTAAATGTTTAAAGCTTTGCAGATCAGGTTCCAATATTTTCATATTGAATTTGCAATGTTACATTTAAATCCAAAATAACAGTATGGTCGTTCACATTAATTGCTTGAATTACCGAACTTACAAAAAGTTCTCGAATGCGTGTTTAGTTTTATATCACACTGATTTAAGAACATAAACTACCCCAAACAGGCTTACATCGGGACAGTTGACGGTGAAGTGAAATCAATGAAGCCCTCAAAACTTGGCATAATAACAAGCTTCACACACCACACAGCGCTAGTGAGAAGTGTGAGAGGTATGAGCGGGAACAGCGTGGTCTCAATATCAGCTGATAATACCGTACAGAGCTGGAGCTGGGAGAGGGGAGCTGTTACTACCACCAAACTTCAGAGCATTGCAGGTACTGGCTATTTATTAGTTTACTTCAGAGCATTGCATGTACTGGCCATTTATTAGTTTACTCTATTTACGCTTAAAAAAGAACATCTAAAGATATGACGTGATACCCACCGTTCTGTTCATTATAATATTGTGATCGTTTCTATAACTATTACCGTGGTTGTTTGAGTCATCAATCAAGGAATAAACCAATAATCAATTGCAGATATAAAATACAAAGTTGACGCGGTTGATGCCAACGGTTCCCATTCGTTCCGGATCGGAGTGGTGGACAAGACAGGTAGCATTGCTCGCTGGAAACAACAGGATGATGTTATGTGCTTTGACTCTGAAACTGAGGGCCCAAAGAAACTCATGGCTTTTGCGTTAATACCCCCAGCAGCAGACGGAAAACAGGCTAGATTACACGGTACTAAAAGCGTTGATTTTTCTAATTTCAGGATTCGTTGAATTTTTCGTTGAATGAAACAAAAATCATGTGCGTTCAACTTTCTTAGAAGTTTTAGGATAAGATTAAGATGTCTTTAGGTACAAATACTAAGACTATAATATAATATAATTTCAGTTCCAGAACCTCCTACTGGAGTCTTGAGGTGTTTGGCATCCCACAATTTTATTGTTGAGATATTCTCCGAAAACAGGAGAGTTTACCTCAGAGTTTACTCTACTGATTCTCCCGAGGTTTACATGAAAGAGATTCTGACAGACGCAAGTGAGTTCAAAATTACCAACGCTTTGAATCAGACACATTATCTCGATTTTGTTGATTTGTTCAGCTTACTATTAATTTAACATATTGTACATAATATTCAACTTGAATATATTATACAAGTAAATATATATACTATTATATAGTAATAGTATAAACAACCATGTTGAATATATAACATGTATAATAATATGTATAATAATATGTTTAATATATATTATAATATGCAACATGGTTAAATATAGTATAAATATAGTATAAATACTATAATATTATTATAAAATAAATATTTATCTTGTTTCAGGTATTATAACGTATGCTGAGCTGACTGAGGACGATATCTTTGTGCTTGGAAGTGTATCAAGTTTCATGCATGTTTGGAACCTGAAAACAAAGAAGCGAATGCCTTCTTCCAGTATTCGTGCGTCCATGAATGGAAGAAATATTAAAGAGGTATTTAAGGTCGCATTTAATGAACGAGTTTATTATATAGTGATAAATGACGAAGTATAATAATATAATAATATGTATATTATAGTGATAATTGACGAAGTATAATAATAATATAATAATATGTATATTTGAGGAATCTTAATCCTCCTCGCATCCGTTAGTCTCTCTTGTATCAAATATTGGGCCACAATTATATAATCATAAATCTGAGACTAGAACCCTCAATCTGGTACATTTCAGAGATTCTTGTATCTGACTTCTGCTGCTTACTACGATGGCAAGAACGTCATGGGATTGGTGACAGGTTAATTTAGCATCCATTTAAATTTCCCCTTCATACTTAAACTTTCCTTAACACTGTTCTTAGTTTGTCCTTTAATGTTTGAGAACTGTTCTAAAGCAGAGGAAACTGTGCCCCAAGTGTGCCCCAAGTGTGCCCCAAGTGTGCCCCAAGTGTGCCCCAAGTGTGCCCCAAGTGTGCCCCAAGTGTGCCCCAGCTGTGTCCCAGCTGTGTCCCAGCTGTTTTCCCCGCCTATGCCCCAAGTGTGCCCCAAGTAACTTTTTGCCCCAAGTGTGCCCCAGGAATTTCAATTTTGTGCCCCAAGTGTGCCTAGCTAGATTACCAAGTGTGCCCCAAGTGTGCCCCAGCTGTGTCCCAACTGTTTTCCCCGCCTATGCCCCAAGTGTGCCCCAAGTTACTTTTTGCCTCAAGTGTGCCCCAAGAATTTTAATTTTGTGCCCCAAGTGTGCCTAGCTAGATTACCAAGTGTGCCCCAAGTGTGCCCCAGCTGTGTCCCATCGGTTTTCCCCGCCTATGCCCCAAGTGTGCCCCAAGTAACTTTTTGCCTCAAGTGTGCCCCAAGAATTTCAATTTTGTGCCCAAATTGTGCCCCAAGAATTTCAATTTTGTGCCCAAAGTGTGCCTAGCTGGATTACCAAATTCCCTAACTTGTTGATAATAACCTTATCTCTGTACACAATGTAACTTGTTGATAATAACCTTATCTCTGTACACTGTGTAACTTGTTGATAATAACCTTATCTCTGTACACTGTGTAACTTGTTGATTATAACCTTATCTCTGTACAGGTCACATCATAGTACCTAACAAGAAAAAGAGTCTAGAGATAGTGGAGCGGGTGTTCAACTCGGCTGTAACAGCTATGGAGTGTGTTACAGACAAGGGGGGTAACTTGGTCATATTCGCGGGGAGCAAGGACGGTATTATCAAGGTAAGGGTTACAAATAATAATATTACAAATAATTAGCATAAGTAATGAGTATAAGTAATGAGTATAAATATTTGTAGATCTAATATTACTTATTAGATCATAATAAAATGATCCAATATCTTATAGTAAAACCTTATCATAGTATTATAAGCCATTATAAGTACCCCTAAAATAATTATGACACTGTATCCTAATCAATAGTTAATTAACGTACCTTTAAACTCTCTTTCTAAACATCTGTCTACCCCAGGTGTTAACAGCTGACCTGAAGGTGATGGGAATGTACCACACAAACGGTCCTGTCACCGTCCTCCGTGTTCTACGCCACCCTAACCGCCGAACCTACGACAAGGTGCCCGTTGTGGCTGGAGACAAGTGTGGCTGTGTCCACTTCCTTAAGTGGTACCCTCCCAAACGTAGCGTGGAGCTCAACTAGAACTACTTCTGTAGAGGATCTAATGGGAGTGAAATGAAGTAATATCAGATGGGATCAGCTAAATGTGCAGGGAGAAATTATGAGAAATGGGAAAAAGAAATTTAATTAGTAAAGGTGATGAGGAAATTTGTTGTTGACGGTGGATTTACCTGCTGATTTCAGCTGGGCCTGATGGTGTATAATAGTTGGTAGACCTTATCTACCAGCTATGTTGTAATAACTCAATCTGTTATCAGAAATATGTTAAACTGTATTTGCTATTAGTTTGTGGTATCGTATTTTGTGAGTATGATTTACGATATTATTATGGAATGATTACTAATCATGTGATATATTAATAGCTGTAGAATGTACAATTTGTACAATTTGAACATGTATTACGTAGTGTTATAACGGTATTTTCCTTGACCTTATCTACATGTTGTGTACTTTGTGTTACATATTTGAGAGCTGGGTCCGGTTATAATCTAATAATCTGTTGCTTCATATTAGATATGGTTTTTAGTGATACACCAGTATACACCAGTATATAAGATAATTGTTAACTCTAGCTGGACTCCTGAAGCTTATAGTTGGTGTGAAATAGTACGTGTATATGATTTGGGGGCAGATCAAACTGTGTAAACTGTATTAACAACAATTTGCACAAGAAAGTGAAATGTTAGGAATGTGGCGTGTCATGCCGCCTGGATACCAGTCCAGCTATGTGACCCGCAATACTTCCAACATGCCCTCATATTTCTGGAAATTTGTAATAGTATGGAATTCATCATGACGTGGTCATTTGAAGCAATTTTGTGATGAATAAACTCAAAAAACCGTAATTTGAAACTCAGAAAATGATTTGCTCTAATTTCCTGGAGATGAGTAACATCCCCAAATTGTATACATACCTACTACACGAAGCCATGCATTTAAATAGTTCCGTGTACATTGTACTTCCAGGACTCATCAGGTCACCACCAAAAGTATTTGAGATTTGTACTGCTGGAAATTTGATCCGCCTTTGGATTATGGCGATAAGACTGTTTATTTGTTACATCACACCAATTTTTTGTATTTCCGATTTTCCATTCACTGCTTCACTGCATCAGTTTTCACGCTTATTGTATTACGCTTCATACCTCATGAGTTAATAATATTTTATCGATTTGACAGAAATTTCTATCATATTTCATTTGAAAATATTTGATCTAAGTTATGACTCGCTCATTTGGAAGTTAGTTTTTGCATGTGTTTTATATAGTTTTTGTTTTATGAGTTTTTGAATAAAATTGTTTTAACGTTTAGTGTATGATATAATAAAAGTTCAGATCTACGTTTTCTTATAATAAATAATATAATAATTGAACATTAAGATTATTCATTACTACTGCATAATATGATACCCCGCATATTATATAGTCCACTACATATTCCCACAGTCGCCTCCCCCCTTATGTTGCTCTACACGCTCATTAAGCTATTAAAGTACCTTGTCAGTGGGCGTGTAGTAATGGTGTTTCTCTCTCCCTTATATTGACCTGGACTGTATGACTGTGTGAGCGCTACCTGACGTTTTATGTCAGCTCTGCTCGCAGTTCCTTTTCTTGTATGCGAGGTTGTGCGTCTGCTTGTGCGTTTGTTCGTGCGTCGGTTTGCTTGCTGTATTATACTCATTTCAGTGATTCTTCTGTAGTCCGTGTTTTGAGTGTACATGTGAGAATTGTACATGATAAATATAACACACGTAATGATTGTGTCAGTGACACTACTGTAACTCTCTCACACTCTCTCTCTCTCTCTCTCTCTCTCTCTCTCTCTCTCTCTCTCTCTCTCTCTCTCTCTCTCTCTCTCTGCTCTGTGTGATATATACAATTTACAGTGTGTGACTCAGCTGTGGTGTGTTCTAGATCATGTCACGAATAAAGTATCTTTTCTCCAGAGTAACAATCATTAGTACGATCCCTGTGTGCTGGAAGCTTTGTTAGCTGCAATCATTCTCACAATGATCTGATATTGTAACTAGATTTCCTAGAGTGTTTCAATCGAATTATTTCCTCTTCCTCGAGAGAGACTCGTAGAACATTTCGTGTTTTCCTCGAACTACTCTACGTTTTCTGTTAACCTTGTAAGTGACACTGTCTACATTCACAAGAAATTTATATGAGCATTACTCAGAATACTGTACAGTAACTGCCGATGTGAAACTTATTGTTTAGTAGTAGGTGTCTGCATCACTAATGATATATGTTCACTAGTTCCTGTTACCTGTGTTATGTTGTCACAAAATATCAGTCTACTGTTTTTTATTATCGTCACTGATCTTTTCTAGAAGTTAATTCCGTTGAGTAGGGTAGCTCCCTGGAATTGATGTGTTTCATAACTCTCATTAAATCATGTTGAAATGTTAAAACTCAAAATTCTGCCCCATTACGAGTTTCGTTTTGTTGAAGAGGCTGTTCGAATATTGTCGTGGATATGTTAGTAGTTTTATTATCGCTAGTTTATATTTTGTTTTTATTGTGATTATAGTTTGTTAGCTGTGCTAATGTAGCTTATTATTGGAACTTTGAAAGTTTGAAAATTTAGTATTCAAGTAATTTTTGCGTGTGTAAGTTTAAGTTTAAGTTTTCATTCCAAAATGACGTTTTACTCACGCTTCAAGTACAATTCCTGTTCGTATACTAAAGACGATCGTTTAACTTATATTACTGCTTAAATGTATTTAAAAAGCTGTTCTTGATTCCAATTACAATAATATCCTAAACAGACTCGCTAAATTTAACCTACAACTCTTATTCTAGGAACGATTATGACATGAAGACCTTACACACGGTGAGTTGAACATTTTCATCTTACTTTTATACAATGCACATATTTAACATATCTATGGATTTAAGATATATTTCAAAAATGCACAAGCTAGGAAGAAACTTCCACAAAATTTAGAACTGTCTGTTACTTAGTAGAGTAGAAGTAGTAGAGTAGAAATATTTGAATAAAATATATCTTAATATCTTAACAATTCAAAGAATTCAACCAGGAGTATAAAATGTAACACTTACAAAATACCTTTAGTATGCCTACTAAGTAAATAGATCTTGCAAAAATGCGAATAATTCAGGAGTATAATTGCGGACAATCTAGCAATACACGATAAATTAATATACATGACATATTATGCTTTGAATCGTCTACATTGTACTTCTCACAATAGCCACATAATTTTGCTAACAATACTTTAATTAGTTAAAAGAGATAATTACATGTCATTGCTAAAGTGGTGTGTTATAATGTCGTTATTTTGCAGTAAAAACAACAGCATTCTCTTCATCCCTTTCTCATTTCGTCCTAACTCCTTACTGCAATCTGGTTGTTGTTTGAGTTGCTTTTTTTCATAGTTTCATTCATTGGACAGTACTCTCCTTTGGATGAAATGCTGGAATCGTGCCAGGTTTCAGACACAGCGATTCGAATACATCAACGGACTCCGTATTTACCATCTCCAATAAAAAGTGAGCATGATGACATACCAGCAGAATGTACGGAGTTTAAAGAACAAATTGACAGTTGCTATGAGGAAATTGTACACTGGAAAAAGAATATTTTTGAGCCCCCAACATGTAAGATAGGGAGGGAATTTGTAAAGGAATTATCTACGTGGCTTGAACATTTTAATATAGGATCAGTTTATTAGTGTTCATCAATCAAAACATTTATTGTCCTTCCTGCTCTGCTTCTGCAAAAGCCATCCGCAAAAAGTAAAAAAGCTGAACATAAAGTCCTGTTGAAAAAACGGTTAGAATTATGGAGGCAGGGGAATATTTCTGCACTTATGAGGGAAGCAAGAACTATACAACGACAACTAGCGAGGAGCTCTCGGAAGCAAGAAAAGGATTGTGCGAGAAAATTTGCCAACCTCATGTTTGAAGGGAAAGTCAGCTCTGCGGTGCGCATGTTGTGTGATAACGATAACAAAGGAATACTAGAAATGTCTACAGAGACTATGGACCAGCTATTGAAGAAGCATCCAGAACCAATGCCTATAGTGGAGAATAGTTTACTTTTTGGACCGATCGAGGAAATAGAAGAATCGTTGTTTTATAATATAGACGAGACAATGGTATTTAGGGCGGCAAAATTTACTAACGGTTCTGCTGGACCATCACAAACTGATGCTGATTTTTTTAGATTCATTTTGACGCATAAGAATTTTAAAGAAGAGGGAAAGAAACTGAGAGATGAGATTGCTAAGTTTGCAAGGTTGATCGCGTCAAAACCGTATAATCCTGATCTGTTGGACTCCTACGTTAACAGTAGACTCATCCCGCTTAACAAGTGCCCAGGGGTGAGGCCAATAGGAATAGGGGAAACTTTTAGACGAATAGTGGGAAAATGTTTGAGTTGGGAATTGAAAACAGCGATCCAAGTTGCTGCTGGACCACTGCAGGTTTGTACAGGACTAAAAAGTGGATCGGAAGCGGCAGTACATTACATGCGGGAGCAATTCGAAACAGAATCTGCAGAAGCAGTGATTTTAGTTGACGCCAGTAACGCTTTTAATTCTGTTAACAGACAAGCTCTCTTACACAACGTGAGAGTACTATGCCCGGAGTTGAGCATGATTGCAATCAACATGTACCGGAAACCATGCCGGCTATTTGTTGGGGGAGCTGAAATCCCGAGTCGGGAGGGTACAACCCAGGGCGATAACCTGGCAATGTCGCTTTTTGCCATTGCAACTCTACCAGTACTACGGAAATTAGAAGATCACGAAAAAGTGGCACAAGTATGGTTAGCAGATGACGCCACAGGAGTGGGTACTCTTCACGCACTTTTAGGATGGTGGAAAGATATCATTGAAGAAGGACTTAAGTATGGCTACTTCGTGAACCAGGAGAAATCTTGCTTGATCCTGAAAAATCCCGAACATTTACATACAGCTCAGGAAATATTTTCCGATTGCAATATAGATATCAGAATAGATGGTCAAAGGCATTTAGGAGCTGTGCTGGGGACGCCTGAATTCAAGGATACCTACATTAACAACCTTGTATGTGAGTGGAGTGATATGCTAAAAAAGTTAGTACAGTTTGCCAAATC